TGAGAGAGCCATTTAGAAAATAAGGTAGACATTTGAATTCCGCGAGATTTAAGCTATCGAACGATCACCAAAATTGAAAAACGCGTTTTTCACAGGGGTGCAAAAGAGTGAGGATAACAGAAGTGAGCGAATATTGCTGAACCCAAACTTGTTCTGGCTGCTACAGAGCACTGAAACGTTCTTCTAAAAGCCAAGTATGCTATCGGAATCATCGAGATTTAAGCTACCGAATCATTGCTAAAAGTTAAGGGAAAAAGCTACATCCAGCGAAAAACGCTTGAGAGTGGAATATTTCCACTTTCATTTTCGAAGTGAAAAGCAATTATAAGAATGAGTCTCGCTATCAAATTTCCCGAAATTTATGCCATCGAGTGATTACTAATTCTCTAAAAAAAGCAGAAAACGCGTTTTTCTTTTCAAGAATTTCAAACAAGGTGGTAATAGCAGGAAAGTACCGGCAAACTTTAGTCGGCTAAAGCTTCGACGTCTTGCTTATCCTCAGAGACGATGGTTCGAGTTTATTGTCCACAGTCACTCGGCCTGTTGTTGAGGTTCTTAGTTGTAATTTGGGTCGAATCATCTTCGGTGAAACATCGCTTCAATGAAGAACCTCATTGACGATACCCTTGTATACGTGGGAATATATGGCATGTTCTTGTTATATTAATTACCTGTTGATAGTGGGATTCTTCATTCGAGCGGTGCCTCACCGATAAAGATTCGATTAGAGCGACAGCGAAGGGAAGAAGACAGCAAAGACGAATGACTATAGACAATCAACTCCAATCCTCGACTTTAAAAAAGGCGAAAATTTTGAAGCGTTGCTTCAATATAGTTTATTATCAACCTCGTAATATTGGCTTGATCATAGAAAGGAGTAGTATGAGTTAATGCGTTTGAATCTTTTTTTACTGCCTTCAAGCATTGTTGTGGTGTTATGAATGCCTATCTAAGATGAAGAAACATTATATTAATGTTAGAAATGAGCTTTAGATTGCTCACATGGTGATTTGGCTTACCGATAAGCCGAACATCTGAAGGTTTATGGGTAATTTCCGTTATCCGGGGATAATTGAAAAAACGATGCTTTTCGCTGGACAAGAAGTTTTTGTAAGAGTGATAGCAATCATTCGAAAGCGTGAATATCTGCTACTGCGCTACGTTATCACTTTTAAAGGAGTTGCTTCTTATAACGCAAAAGCAATCAAAATAAAACTATGTTCTACACCGTCCTCGCGCTTTTACTATTACTTCGCTGGAGGCGCGAGAAGCATATGAAAGTGTACAGGAAATCTTATGGTATCAAAGTCATGTTTTATCCAGAGTTTCTCTAAGAGCAAAGAAAAAAACTCAAATCAAAAACAAAAATTGCAAGTCACATGTGAGTCGCACCAGCGCGATTAATTGGTCTCCGTATTGCTCCATGTTCAGCACATCCACAGCACACACACTAGCCGACAAGCAAATGCACAGCGTATATGAAACTTGATCTTATATCCCTTGATACACTGCAGTGAAACGGTCCCTTCTAGAAAATAAGTAAAGCATTGGAATCGTTGAAACTTAAAGTTGGTTTCGCACGTTAGAGACATATGCATCAAAAGCGTATAAGCATGTAAAGGCAAACGTGATGTATCTCATTGTGGAAATAGATCTAAATAAGTTCGCGACTAAGGCAAAATTTCTAAATGAATGATTGAAATCGCTCTTTTTGATAGCGCTGCGCGGAGCAATTTCAATTGCCTTCATGAAAGAGTATGATTTCCGTTATGTATTTGGAAAATTTTTCCCCATTTCGGAGAAGTTTTTGAATCTAATGTAATTTAAGAAAAGACTGTATTTTACTGTTTTACTAGTAATGACTTATTAATTTCTTTCTCATTGCAAATAAACACGCTTTGAATTTAGAGCATTGGCAAACTACATGGAGAGCAAAATGTAGTCGTTTATCGCTCTTACAGCGCTCTGTTCACCTTTTTTTCTAAATTAAAACTAAGATTTGAAGTTTATATATATTTCTTCTATCAAATGGTTATCTAATTATCACTAAATATCTATGACTATTATACAGACGCCAGCATTGCAGATAGTAAACTCCAAATGTAGAACGCTTTTTTCTCGCTAATGCTACGGCGCGTTGAAAAGATCTTCATATGAAACAAGTCTGGTAGTAGAACTAAAATTCTTCAACCTATCTGAGATTTATTGAAACTCTCGTAAAAACACATTGTCTACCGAAAAAGCGAAGTAAACGCGAGTGCAAACGACACTACACACTTCGCCGGCAAATCGTAATTTTCTCCTTATTGGTATAGCGCACCAAAAAAGCCCTTTCGGAAAGCAAACCCGCTGCTTGAATTTCACTTTTTTAGCTATCGAATGATTACCTAAATTTTGGTTAAAATCTGTGCCCGATGAGAAGATCACCAAAAATATGTATCCACTGTTGATAAACTTGGTCCTGAAAGGTAAACGCAAAACGTAACTTTTTTTGCCGTCACCACAGTGCCATAAAAGCTTAATTTAAATTTTAAGTTCACGGCTAAATTTACCGTTTTTCAGGCCTTGGGATAGCATCCAAAACTGCTACCTAATAGGAAGGCGTTGTAAAAATCATGCATAGCATCAAAACCGCATTTTTCAGCTATCGAATATTTTCAAATTTAGAAAAAAAGCTTTGCCTAGTAAAAAAGCTAATTAAACAGGATCGCGGGATGCACCATACATTCCTAAGAAAAAATATAAATTTCTTTTTTTTGGCATAGCTCACTAGTAGAGAGTTTTCAAACATCGAGCATATCATAAGAACCGCATTTTTTCATTTATCGATAACTAATTAAAGTTCAATGAGAACTTTGTGCTCGGCGAGAAAATCACGAAAAGGTGCGTGTACTGTGATAGGTACACATGGTCCTGAAAGGGCTAAAAGGTGTATTTTTTGACATGCAATCTCTTTTTTCTTCTTTTCTTCCTGAGTGACTGAATCATAGAACCATTGTCTGAATAATCCGTGTTCTCCCCGTTTTCTGTCCCTGGTATAATATAGACTGTTTTCTGTGCGCATGGATATCACGCTTCACTATCAGGCTCTTTGAGGACGGTCGTAAAAGGGTGGTTATTTATTGCCTATTTCTTCTTTTATCCTTATGGCTACCTAAGAAATGAACCACCAGCGGCAATATGAGCAGTTGATGTAAAGAGGATAAAAAACTGATTGTAAACAGTCGTCGTCGTTGTCGCGTTTTCTCTTTCATCTGTACATCGACTATGACTAATTGTCGTACAGATCTGAGTCTTTGAAAAACGACTGAGAATGCATGAGTTAAGTGAAAGTGCATCTTCGGCTTCAACGGTCACTCTTTTTTTAGCTGTTCTATGTCTTCGGCATCTTTCCTTGACAATCATAATACGACTTATAGAAAGTAATACAAGCGATTTACTTGACAATGCCTTTTTTGGAAGGCAGAGGATATAAGAGGATTGCTAAGAGTTAGATGATTGAGTCCTACTACTTCTTCTTTATTGTTCTACACGTTCCTCTCTTTATCCATTCCCTGCTCAACCGAACGATCATCGCTACTATCCAAGGAACATCGGCCTGATCGATTTCGGTTTTCATGTTAAATTGCGCGATTATTGTAAAAGATACACATTAAGAAACTCGTCGAACTAGTTTCACAACTAACAGATTCCGAGCAATTTGTATTCGATTATCGAATTATTGGACTCCATTAATCGATGCATGTGTCAGAGAGACAAGTTCAATTAGTCACATCATTATATCTTTTGGGATCAGAAGTCTATTATCTTCTCTTTTATTTGCCCAGTAGATGATAGTATTAAAAATAAGCACGTTTCGAAAAGATGCTGGAGATTTCTTCTTATCGAGAGTAGATGTTTAAAGATGCTGGGTGATATGGAAGACTTTAAACATCAGACGGAGTTGAACACTAGCATCACTTATACGGAGGCTAGCGCTAGATCACCTAGGCCACCACTCCGCTACCACTCGCTATGTAGTTATAATAACATTCTAGCACTCCTATTAGAGCCCCAAAAGATTTGCTTCAGGTTATATAACAGCTCTAAACTTGACAGGTTCGATTCTGATTTGTGACCTACCCCACACCGAACCTTTGACACTTGGTTACTGATAGCTGCGATATCTTATATCGAAGGGAGTGGTAGCAAAGTGGTGTCCTCGATGGTATAGTGGTAACACGAACCCCGGTATGGATGGAAGGCAGGTTCGACTCCCGTCTGAGGTTCAGAATATTACATATAACTCAGCATTTTCGGATATGTTATTATAACATCATAGCACTGCTATATGAGAGGTAAAATAAGTAGCTCGAGTAGAAAATAAGTAGATAATTAATTAATCTAAACTCCGACCCGATTGAATTTATCTACTCTTTGACCGAAGCAGCGTGAATACTGAGAAGTTCAACGGCAAAAAGTTATCCTGTAACCAGAATTTTTCGACGTCATCTTCATTTCCGATTTATACTCGCCTGCTGTCTAAGAACTGGATCAGAAATCAGACTAATATGGAAGCTAAATCGTTTAGCGTAGAGCTTGATCTTTCGTAACGCTCTCAATACCATTTACAACATGGACTGTGTTTCCCGTTGATGAAACACTTCTGCTTGTTTGAAGTGAACACGAGTGAAACGCAGTGGCTTCAGGTTTCCTACAGCACGCACAAGGTCGTTGGCTCGATTCCGCGCGCCTGTCTCATATAAACTTCCGTCCCACCTGTGTCGACAACTTGATATTAGATTTGATATAGTGCAAGACATACGTTTCAGCTTTGTTTCACGCGTCATCAGTAGCACAGGTCTTTCGGTTCAATCGGGACCTCACATATAAGCGAATCGGCGCCAAACATGTAGCATTAAAAGCCAGGTAAAGAGATCACCTGACATTGCAGTGACAGTCGATAGCTCGATGGCCGGTTACCCAAGGATACTGCTGGATATGAGTGATAAGCAGAACTTTGACCTCAGCCGAGAGTTGAACTCGGGCTGCACCCTTAGCGAGGGCGCGTGCTACCACCACACCATCGACGCCATCGCTCTGCTCGCACTACTTGGAACCCGTTGGCACGTTTGCTTGCCGACAGCTCCGATGCCTTATATTGAAAAAAGTGGTAGCAGATCGGGGTGTTCTCGGTGGCGTAGTGGTAGCGCGCACCCTGCGATGGATAAAACGCGGGTTCGGCTCCTGCCTGAGTTTGCATCTTTCCCTAAGGGCTCCTTGAGAGGCATCGAAATCATGAGCCATTGGAGGAGAGAGGACATGACCGTCCTTCGCGCTTGCTACTTCAACCCCTCTCCGCAGTGGAGTACACACGAGCTGCGCCAACTAGGCGAGGTGGGCGCCTATTGTGTCTGGCGGCGTTCCAATGGGGAACACCCCCTAGTTCCCATCACGCTCTTCGGGGCGGTCGGTTCTTTCTCTGTTTTGTTTTTGTTTTTGTCTTTATTTTTATTTTTATTTTTTCTTTTTTGTTTTTTTTGCTCTTTTTCAAAATTTCTGGATAGCAGACTGCCTAGTGGTTTCGTCTGTGTTCAGGTCGTCGATGGGACGAATCCCGTACTGTTGAGGGGTGATCGATCAGTTGTGAATTTTCCTCGTTGCAAAGCCGCCGCAGTCTCTTCTTCGTACAGAACGTGTTCCGTTCCATTCGTGGCTGACATGATGGTCCCGCCAAGTGAACGAGAACAACTCGCGTCGCTCGTCGAGCAATGGAATGAGAATCGTCTCGATCTTTTCCACCTCACCTATCCCACTGAGGTCAGCTCATCCTTCCACCTGAATTATTTTTTTTGTTGGTCATTCTACTGAAGTTAAATAGAGTTAAATACTATGGCTCAGCGATAAAGATAGTCATTTACGTACATGACATCCGACTAATAAGGATTATTGCACAAAGTTCTATGAAAAACGTTCCACATCAGGCGGGAGTCGAAACTCCTCTCCTTTCATCTATACCTGAGTGGCGAAATGCTGCGTGCTACCATCATACCAACGATAGAACATATAGAAGGGGTCTGAGCCGTCGCATCAGTAGTGTAGTGATAGCACGCGCCCCGGCCTAGATGAAACGCGAGTTCAACTCCGGCCAGATATCGAGTTTTTGCATACCAGCCAGTATTGTTGGATTCATATTTATATCACCACACCAAGGCTTAAAAGCAGTAGCATTTGAGAAATCACGATTACTGCATTGTTTATGGCGGTAATCAAGCAGATTTGAGCTGGATTTTGTTCCATTTTTGCCCACAAATCCTAGTATTAATTAGGTTTAACGTGGACGTATTGAATTATAACTCACCAAAGGTTAAAAATTTTTTTAGGATTAAAATTAAACCTGTCAGAATGACTTAATCTGTATGTGAGCTCTTTTCAGGATCTTGAAATCGAGGGTGTCATGCGGTTCTATTTCCAGGTGCGGCTTATTCAAGCATTTTTTCAGTTCGTTGTTTTCCTACCTTTCCGAGAGACTTTTTGCCTCTTATACCTTGTTCTGGTGCTTTTATACTGAACGATTTCCAAGTTTAAATTGCATGTTTGAACGCAATGTTCCATTTTTCAAACTTATGACGGAGATTATCTAGCCCCGTCTCGAAATTTTTATCTTTTTCATAATTCTTTTCTTTGTAATCACTACGACAACATGAGCAGTATAATGGCCACATCCATGAACATTTCTGCTAAGAATCATGTTTTCTTTACCGTTCACTAAAGCACGTGTGGCGCAGTGGCTACAGGTGCCGTGCGGCGTACACGTGGTGAGTGTTTCGATCTCACCTCCAGGTCCCATCAATTCTGGCATTCCAGGGTCGGTGAATGATGTTGGAAGGCTAGCAGTACTGTTTGGTACACGATCTGCCACCGTGAGGAGAGACTAGATAGGCTCTCGATCACCTTTACTGTGCACGAATGAGGTCGAGTGCATCGTGCATCCCTTGGGTTTTGATCAACGCCGAAAGCTTTGTCCTCTCTTTTCTGAGGGTAGATTCTAGTTCTGAGCTGTCGACTATTTGGTCTATAAATTCGTTTTTTGATGTGGTCTATTTTGCGCCATAATGTTATTGAAGGATGGCGGCGAGCGTGTGCTGACCAAATGTGTTCGTGTGTCGAGTACGGCAACAACCCGTGCCGTCGTGGACGCTCTAACGGAGAAGTTTCTACCTGATCTGAAGATGCTCTCAGATGACACTTATACATTATGGGAGGTTGGTTTCGGCTAGCACGGTCTCTTTAACGTACCATTTGCAGTAGTTATTGAATATTTTGAATTTTTCCATTCTCCTCAGCACACTCATTTGATACGATTAATATTTCGTGCAAATGTACTCGAAAAAATTTGACACGTTCGGGACGGCGTTGATTTTTCGCGTGGCACGCGGCGCGGTCGACTCGACCGGCAAGCGGAGCGCGCTATAGTTACATTGTTCTACTTTCGTAATCGTCCTTTTTTTTCGTTTTTTTTTGTCTTAACGAATGGGGTTTTATTATCTGTAAAAGAAAAAATAACGCTGAAGAAGACTCGACAAGGCTACTGGTAGTATCAGCAGCACCAGTGCTTCCCAGTGAATATCAGAACAGCGAGTTCTTTTTCAAAAATGTTTTCAAAATTGAAATTTATGTTCTACTATGCAATTTGCACTTTGCATTGATTATATCTTTTCTAGATAATACAGATATCTCTCTTTTAGATCTTCGTAAACATAATCATCACGATCTAAGTCTTCTTCCCTAATCAGCTGGAATTTTGGTTTTTGAGAGCTAGCAAAACGTTTTTTCTTTTCCTCTTTTCTTCGTTAAGGATAGTATTCCGAACAGGAAGCAGTTGAATAAGCGGGATTCGTCAATAGATCTTTTCTTGTCCATTTTCGTATTTTTCTTTACATTCGAGATTTAACAATGAGCTGCATCACTAGAGTGATATGCGAGAGGCTCACTGTATTCCTTCGAGTTTTCCTGACTTCTTGAGAGTGCAAGTCACGATTAGATCGAAGAAGATCGTTGACTAGACTTTGTAGGAGAGCAGTGGAGTCATCCCAAAAGTTGTACATAGTCTCTGAGATGATACAAGGTGTTTATTCCTGTCAAATTTCATTTGTCTTCAATTCATCGAATTTCTTGACTCGATGGGCCACCAAAAGGCAAACTCGTTGCCGTCAAAGTTCTACGGCTGGAACATATTTGAGCTACTAAGAAATGCATAAATTCATGCTTCACTAAACAAATTTAGCTCCATGAAAGTGGTGGTGAGAGGAAATTGGACGATGACGAGAAACCATTGCTTGTACAGCTGACGTGGCACCGAGATGACCGCGAAGGCAGATTTCTGTTACGCAAAAGTCGCCAGACCAGTGTTCCTCTTGCGGTGTGTCTATGAACATGAGTGCTGATTTAGTACTCTAGACTCATCGTTGTATTTAGACTATACAGCTGCCTCATGAGGACAACATGAAAAGAGCCACGAAGCGATTTTCCAAGAGAGAAAAGAAGGAATTGAAGAAAAAGCATCAAAAAGATATCAGTACGTTTCTTCTCTCATCTTCCATTGATTTGAACACATTGCATGACAATTTTCTTCTTAGTTACTGTCAATTCTGGTAGAGAAGAGGCATTGGCACCAGCAACCGACCTCTATTGTCAGGTTAGTTGATTGTTACTGTACTTTCTTTACCACTTTTTTTTAGCATTTTCACTATTTCTAGCGAAAATTGTTTCGCTAATTAGTCCTCAATGTATAGGCCTCCCCTTAATTACTCTGAACAATATGTGTTTTTCCATGTTAATTCCAGTAGTTCCCTAAATATGAGAATCAGTAGTTTATACTACTTATATCTAGGTTCCTCCTAATTCGTTTACCCGTACTATATCTAACCCGGAAGTGGTGATGAAGAAAAGACGGGAGAAGAAGCTGGAGGCAAGACTGAAAGAGATGGGTCATGGTAAGCGATGTGTTTGAATTAGTCTTCTTTTTTACATTAGACTTGGCATCATATCTTCGTGCATTATAGCACTGAAGGAATTGAACGAAGTACTACGTGGGTGAGTTTTAAGTCGTGGTGCGAGAAAGCATGCTCCTGTCTAATCAGAATTTTCCTCAATTTTTTTCAAATTTTGTAAACCTTTTCTAGTTAGGTTGTTCTTCAAGCCCATCTATCTTCTATGTTGTTGATTTTGAATGGCTCTTTTATGTTATCCGGAGATAAATGAAGGAGCGATCCCTTTCGCAGGACAAGATTTTTCCATAAGAATGTTAGTAATTATTGGAAAGCTTGAATCGCTGGCTACTGTGCTACTAACCGTTTCTTGGAAAGGCCTTTTCATAACGCTGTAGCAGAGTAGGACACTTGTGTTTCACAAACGCATATTTTTCCCAGGACAAAGCTGTTTCCGGGAACTAACCATTATGAGCAGCCATTTGATAGCATGAGTTTCGACAAATCCAATGCTGTGTTTATTTTCCGGAAAGACGTTTTCACTGAAGTGTAGCAGGGATAATAAGATCGCGTTTCACATACGCGGCGCACTTGCTTGTCGACTTTCAATAGGTTGAGGAGTAAGTTTCCGGAATTTGCTTATAAAAACTTTATTTAAGCATCAATTAAGTTCGAACAAAAGACAATTTAATAGTCAAAGTAGTCTCCTTCTGAGTCGATAACGTTCAGCCACAGATCTGGCAACATGAAGATTCCGCGGCGGTAGAAAACACTGTCCTTGGAGTTGAAGAAATTTCGAAGAGTTCCCTCGACCTCGCCCGTGTTATTGAGCTTCTGGTCTCGCAGAAAGTGTTCCATTGACCGGAAGAGGTGGTAATCACTCGGTGCCAGGTGTGACGAGCATCATTTCCTGCCCTGAACTCCTTGAAGTGATCGTAGAAAGCTGTCTTTCCAACAGTTCCTTCGCCCCATGCCTCATTAATTCGACGAACAGTGTCAGCGGCATTTGTGCCCACTTTGTACTCGTGAAGCATCAACAGTCGTTTCTGTTCGCGGTTCAGTTCCATCTTGCGGCAGTATAGAAGAGTTATATATCAATCGAT